TTGATATTTTTGATAATTCGATTCAATTTATTGAGACTTCTGTAAGCCAACACATTTTCTTCTCCCGCTTTCAACGATTTCGAAACTGTGTGCGACAATTTATTAATAAAAAGTACAACAAAATAATTTCTTACGGTTTTTGAAGTAGATGTGAACTCCAAACAGTCTGATATTCCATTAATTGCGTTCGCACTCAGATATTTCACCCGTTCATTGATGACTTTAAAAATTATTTCCAACAGATAGTTGTTGGAGATGAGGACGTTGATTATAAATTTTATATTCTTTGCTTGAAACCCAGGTTGGTACAACAACAGAGCTCGGTCTACCGTTACGATAATAGTTGCTATTTCTTGAGAGACTGGGTGTGAGAAGTGATAATTTAAATACCTGTCCGAGAAAATGTAGGTTTATGGTACCAGTCGCACATAATTGTCCCGTTATTAGACACAATCAATTTGACGTTTAAAAAGCTCAAAGAATTTTCATTCTGCGTCTCAATCGTGAACTTCAATCTGTCATTATATCCGCTGAAATTATTTAAAAGATAATTTAAATTGTTGGCGAACACGGTTAAAATAATGTCATTCACATAAGGGGAATAAAAAAAAAGCGGGTCTAAATTTTAATTTTTTCAAAACGGAAACTTCCAAATCTTGCATTACTATTATCCGCAATAATAGAGAACAACGGAGAACCCATCGGTACCCCAAAGGTTTGCTTATATATATTATTGTTGAACAAAAAATAAGTGGATAACGAAATAAAGATATAACTAATAGAAATAGTTAATAACATTGTTCTTTCTACGAAACAGGGAAATAGCGTTGCTTGCACAGTTAAAGTAAAAGGAAATACAAGCAGCGTTATCATTTCTCTCTTTCGTAGAAAGAATAATATTATTAACCATCTTTATTAGTCCTTAACGCGCGCGGCATTTCTTTTTACTTCGGCTGTGGAAACAGCGCTATCATTTTCTTCTTTTGTATAAAGAACAATATTATTAACCATCTTTAGTAGTTCGCGCGCGGCAGCTTGCTGTTCGGTACGTTACATCGAGTCGATTATCAATAGATGTTTATAAGGTCAATTTAATGCACTAAATTTAGGAAAAAAATTGAAAAAAATCCTGGTTACTTCTTTGACCTTCAAAATTAACTTTGAAGGGGGGGGTAGCAGGTTATTATTAACTTTTTCAGCTAAAATGCGAGGTCAATTTTAAAGGAAAAATCCCCGGAGCGAAAAGGTTAATAATATTAGGTATTTTTTCCAAAACTATAAATCTTGAGAAAGTTTTTCACGTTGTCATACGCGCGCAAAGCACGCAACTTCGATCGTGCCTCGTGTCTTGCCTTATAGCCGGCTTGGTGGAAAGGAGACGGAACATATCATGCTACACTATTTCACGAGCGCACACAGGCAGCGCGGCGGTTCTCGCTTGTGTGCGTACCATGATGCGTACCACCGAGTTGGTGGGGCTACGCACACAAGCGAGAGAGGGTGGCGAGGCAGCGGGAGAGGGTGGCAAGGCAGCGGAAGAGGATGGCGAGGTAAAAGAAGCAGAGGAACAGACTCTTATAATAGAGAAGGGCTACACGCTAATGTTATAAATATAAGCAACTACGGTTAAGTAATTTGTTAATTATAATTTGCTGAAAGAATTATGAAGTATATTTTAAAAAGGTAGAAGAAACTCACTTATATAGACATTTGGTACTTACAATTTTTTTTATTTATAATTTAAAAATACTATATTTTTATGTACAAACTGCACCGAAAGTTTTTATATTCTCATAGAATATATGAAGTAAACAGAGAAATAATATAAATTATAACATAGTTAAGAAAAAGGATTTAATAAATAATGTTCGTACACAAAGTGAATATAAATAGATGATAGAAAGTTTGTAATTCTGGTTGTGTATTCTTACATACTACAAATGAAAGACTACATATGTATAGTTACTTATGTAAGAAGAACATAGAAAAACAGATTTATTTTATGATAATAATGTTTAATATAAGGGATTTAAAAAGTATGCAGAAAAAAAATTAATAAAGATAATATATATAATATCTATATAAAAAAGACCATACTTCTGACAAAAATTGTTATATTTATCTTTTTCTTATGTTTACAGTTTATTTATTCATATAACAGTATTGTAATGTACCATGTATTGTAAGTTTCTACCATTTTGCAATAAACCGCTTTTATATATCAAGATGTACAGACGGCGTCATTAATTCGAAGAATAGGCGCGGGGATCGGAGGGCAAGCGGGGCGGTTGCTCGTAGCGCCAACGGGCGCCGTACNAACTAACTAGTAGCAATCGGGTGTCCACAACTACGACGTAGTATTTAGCCCGTTGGCGCTACGAGCAACCGCCCCGCTTCCCCTCCGATCCCCGCGCCTATTCTTCAAATTAATGACGCCGTCTGTACATTTCCTCTTTTCATGTATATTCTCTATATATTTGTTTATGTAGATTCAAATTATATAAAATATTAATATATATAGATATATATTTGCAAGTTCTTTCTCATTAATCTTTTTTCTTTTGTAAGTACTTTGATTGATCTATGAGAATAATGTCAGGTAATCATTTTTTCTCTATTATTTCTCTATTAATACTCTACAAAATTCGAAATTGAACTATAAGTTTTATTAAATGTTTTTTCTTTTTAATTCACAAGTGATTCGTTCCGTGGTTTTTATTGTAACATTTTCTATTTACAATTGAGATATCATGGGATAAATAACGTGGAAAAATAAATGATAATTAATTATTAGATAAACTGTCCGATATTTTATCTGAAAGTGGAACAACTCCGACCCTGTATATCTTGAGAAAGCGCATTTCACGTTATCATACGCGACAAGTCTGTACCGACTTGTATACCGACGTGTACATAGCACGAAATAGAACTATGTCCACCGCACATAGCACGAAATAGAACCATGTCCACAGCACATAGCACGGAATAAAACCATGTCCACGCGTGGACATAGCCATACGTATCGACAAGTCGCTCGTTGACATCACTACGTAGTTGCCAATGTGCACCACCCATGGACATGCGCTAGCTTACGGGCCGGTATAGTGATCGTAAAAACTCTTATGGGCATATATGTAATACTCCTATATGGCTAGTTGAGCAAGTTTTCCATAAGCGGGACTTGTTTCAACACTGAAGGATAGAAGATAGATGCTTATTGGCTCTCCAAGAAAGAGTAGGAGGAGTGTTCAATGATTGGTAATGCGCAAGCGTTGCGAAAATTTCGAGGTTATACTTCACGCAGAGAGAAACCTGAGAGCGGCCATCCTAATGTAATTTTTTACGACGGTTTCAGCCGCTGGTTTTAGCCGTATTTCCACAAAAGTGGAACTCAAAGGCCGTTCTACATTAAACGCAAGTAGCAGATCTCGTGNACGGTTTCAGCCGCTGGTTTTAGCCGTATTTCCACAAAAGTGGAACTCAAAGGCCGTTCTACATTAAACGCAAGTAGCAGATCTCGTGGAATTGACCAATTGCAGAGTCAAATCAGCCAATCGACCAACGTGATTGATCAGTTCCACGAGATCTGCGACTTACGTTTAATGTAGAACGGCCTTTGAGTTCCACTTTTGTGGAAATACGGCTAAAACCAGCGGCTGAAACCGTCGTAAAAAATTACAATAGGATGGCCGCTCTCAGGTTTCTCTCTGCTGGCAGTGAATATCGGAACGCAGCCAATATAAGCATTATGGATACATGTTACGCATGCGCTTTTGAACAAACTGAACAGTGATAAAGAGTAATAAAGAGAGTAGAGCATTGTCTGCACCGTATTGTTGGGACCGCGCTGAGAGCTCAACTAGCCATATAGAAGTATTACATATATGCTTATGGGCCTGGCCACTCTCATTCTTCTCTCTGGCAGTATTGAGCATGCGCACAATCGTAGCCAATAAAAATTAGGCACAACTGCCCCCCCGCATTTCGGCTTCACTCCCCTCGCCTATATTCTGGGTCTATGCTCCGTCCCTATATTCCTATGTCCATTCTTCCACCCCGCAACTCTATGCTCCCTCCCTATATTCCTATGTCCATGCAGTGTTGTTGCGAAGTCGCGTTTTCGCGCATGCGCACTGCGCTGCTAGAAGAATGCAGTAATGTATGTACATATATATGCACGTAAATAAGGGGCACCAACATGTACAGTTTTGGCGGGATCTCGCAGTAGGGACTGAGAAGGTTAAAGAGCGTAGGATAATTATAATTATAATAACTATAATTATAATGATATTACTAATTATTTTTGTTGCTGAGTTTATTTGTTTTAGATACGTGCCTCAAAAAGAAGAGATTTTGTGTGATTTATATATATAATTTAATATAATAATATAATATAATGTAATTGTTTATGTGTATATAATCTTCTAAATATTCTTTGTAGTTATTTATAATCCCAGTCAGAAATATCGTCGATCAACCGTCGATCGACTAGTATAATCGACGTCGATTCGATAAGGTATTTCTGACTGGAAATAATTTCTTATAATTTACTATATTTTATATTATATTCTTTATATTCTGTTATATATTATTACATTACTTAAATATTCAGTTTTGTTAAAATAAATGAATGTATTTTTATTTTTTTGAATATTGGTAAGGTTTTTGGCAGTTTCCTTTATCTTTGCAACAAATGTTGGTATTTGTGATTTCTGCCAAATAAAATATTAAATTAAATGTTATTTCTATGTTTATTTAATTCTATTGTTTTTAAATCCTATCTTCTTAATATTTTTTCATTTAAATGTTATTAAAAAACTAAACAAATAGTATTAAAACATACTCCACGTGTTAATCATGAAAAATTATTTGGGTCTTTACAGAACCTTAATAATGTCGAAGTTAGTACGGCAGTAATGCTACATTTAAAGGCGCATGCGCGAAAACACAGCTTTTATGGGAACCTAATTGGCTGTACAGTGCGCATACGCGAAAACGCGACTTCGCAACCTTCGCAACAACACTGCTGGCCTGCTGGCCAATGCCTAAATCGTTTATCGTGCAGGTGCCATATTAGCAAAGAAGAAGAAGTATGAAAGCACCAAACCAAATCTAGTTCATAACCTTTATTCAGCTGAGCTTTGTTAGTTTATTTATGTGATGTGTGAGATTTCACCCAGTAAATAACATCGCGCATATTATGGCTACATCTCAAAATACCTTCGGTACACCAAAAACCACAACAGGTATGATAAGAGAATAAAAAATATACAATAAAAAAAACTATTTTTTATTTTTTATTTTCAGTTAGAGGGAATTACAAAGTAATTCTTCTGGTTGTAATATATATTAATTGTATTTATCTTCACGTGTTTAATTGTGACTTTTTTAAATGTCTGTGTAAGGAATTACTGGCTTGAGTTTTGGTACACCAACTATGGCCACTGGAACTGGTTTCAGTCTCGGTAGTGCATTGACTACAACGACAACATCTATATCTACAGCATCAAGTCTTCAGAGTTTCACAAATCTCACAAGTAGTGTGACACCTGTGTCAGCTCCTGGACTTGCTTTCAGTGCTGGAACAGCATCTGTAACTTCTGCAAACACAAGTTTCTCTCTCACACCAGCAACAACAGGAGGTTTTGCATTTGGTGGTGCTAGCACATCGAAACCTGTTACTGGTACAAGCTGAATTTTTTGTGCAAGAATTTGTCTTGCTTTCTCTGCTTTGTACAATATAAAAAAAAAAAAAGTATTGATGAATATGTGTAACATATTTACAAGGATCCACTGGATTGTCATTTGGTACTCCAAATGCTCTGGCTACTGGGTTTGGTCTAAGTGGCACAGTTCCAACCACAACATCAGCAGCAGCGAGTGTTTCTAGCTTTAATCTTCCTACGAGTACAGTAGCTCCAGCATCTGTAACACCAGGACTCTCGTTTGATACCTCAAAAACAGGCGCTACCACAACTGCGAGTACAGGATTTTCCCTCGCGACAACTACAGCAACAGGAGGATTCAGTTTTGGAACTTCAGCAACTACCACCACTGGATTTTCTTTGGGTAAAACAACTTCCGCCGCTATTCCAACAAGTCTGACAGCTCCCTCTACTCATACTTCTCTGGGAACTGCCACCACGTAAGTACAGAGTTTTATCGTTTAAAGATTTATAATTAAAGAAATTATAATAGAACTTTAATTATAAAAATCTAGTTTTCTTCTTGTGTTACAGTGTTAGTTCCGCAACTGGTGTACAACCAGGAGCTATTAATTTCTGTCAGCTTGAAGAATCGATTAACAAGTGGACATTGGAACTAGAAGAACAAGAAAAAGTATTTGTTAATCAAGCGTCGCAGATTAATGCTTGGGACAAATTGTTGATAACAAACGGAGAAAAGATAGTCATTTTAAATCAAGAAGTTGAAAGAGTGAAAATCGAGCAACAACAACTGGAACACGAACTGGATTATGTGGTGAGTGACATAAAATAAATTAAAACTAAATCTTTCAAGTGAACTGAATAATTTTATTTTTTTTAGGTTGGACAGCAGAAAGAGTTAGAGGAATGTTTAATGCCGTTGGAAAAGGAATTGGCGTCTCTTTCTGTGTCGGATTCCGATCGGGAATACACGTATCGCTTGTCCGAGAATCTTGACACTCAATTGAAACGTATGTCGGAAGATCTAAAAGAAATAATCGAACACTTGAACGAAGCGAATCGCGCCCAGGATTCGAGTGATCCCATCGTGCAGATTGGAAAGATCTTGAACGCGCATATGAACAGTTTGCAGTGGTTGGATCAACAGACCGCTCTGTTGAGTCAGAAAATACAACTGATCGATCAAATGCATCAAAATTTTCGGCAAGAGAGTGAACAGAACTTACATTTAGCGTATAATTAGTCATTGATTTTATATTTGAATTTTTTTTGTAAAAGTTACTTTTCTGAATGTGGTATATAATTAAATTTGTTCAATTGGTTGTGTGTGACTGAATAACAATGAAAAATTGAAAAAAAAAAATTATATATATATATATATAATTCAACATTTCGGTAAAAAATTATTTATAGTCTACACATGACTCGGGTTTGTTCATACTTTTTAAGAGACAATGGCTGGTATAAAGTAGTGCATTCTAACATGCTCTCCAACATCCAAAGTCAATTTTACCATCTTGTTTTCCAATATGTTACACTTGACACTGTCTGGATGAAGAATATCCCAACTCAGAAACATTGCGAGTTTCTTTGTGCTTACAGTCGCGGATATATCATTGGCATCCTCTTCTTTACTTTCCCAAACTTGCAATTCCTTAAAATGAGTAGACACTGTAGCAAGGTCCATTTCAGCTTTTATCACTAGCGCACCCGTTTTATTTGCGATTAATGTTATTTGGTTGCTCATATTCTTTATTCTCTCCACGATGTGTCGTAGACGCTTGAGTTGCGGCGCTTCTACAGATATCTATAAATAGAATTTATGTTACGAGACTATTCCGCACAACATTTGCACAAATATTTCAGTGCGCGTGTTACCTACATCGAACTCAGGAATATCTGGCATTTTGTGCTCCGACCATTCTTTGCGCGGTATGAGTCTCACCGGCACATCGTGCACACATTGTCGCGATTCGACAGCCAGAGAAGATAAATCGATGTCAAACGTCAAACAAGGCTGTCGCTTGTTTGTCAATTTAATCTTTACACTTTTCGCCATCACTCTGAGACTGTTCAAACTTCTGGCAAACATCGAAGCATCAAATTCCAAGTAAATCTCATTCTCCTCCTGTGTTACTCCGCTCATTAGATATTCCGTGAAGAAGTATTGCTGAGAGAGCACGGCCCAGAGCACAGGTATCCGTTCGTCGCCAACGTTGAAGCACACCTCGTCCGGTGTCAATCGCAGGACGCAGTATTTTGCCATTCGGGATATAGTAGTAACGATACCTGGAGCAACAAAATTTTGACGAATGAAACAAGGTGTGTAGATAATCGACACTCGAGTAAATAATGCAAGACGTGAATAGATTGTGAAAAATTGCGAAATACGTCGAAATCTACATGTAACATTTTAAATATCAGTAACAAAGGTTAGAAACGCGAAAATTTAATTTTACTAGTAAAATCCCGCATAGAGCCGGCATCCACCATTCTGCATTTAAACTTCATGTCGATTGGATCGTGTATTTATTGTTGACACATGTGTGATGATCAAACGTCATTATAAACTATGAAATTGGCGCGAAAAATCTCGCCAGCGCAGCTGCGCGATTGTTGTGCGAAGTGTTTGTAAAATTGTGTTAAAATCTAAATTTATATTAATAATGAAAAGATCTTAATCTACATATGTATCATCGATGCCTGTTAATTAAGTTTTAATTTAATCGCAAAATATTTGAAAAAAATAATCTTTAGTGTGTTGTTGCATATGTGATAAGAAAATTGTCGATAATGCAGGATGCACGACTAATAGCGATTTCGGCTGGTTTGCACCGACTGCACATTTCGGGTGTCGGTGCAAATTGTGTGTTCGGCTGGTCGAATGGCAGCAGTTCTTTGCTGGTTCTGCGTATTCGTCTGAGCTCAGTACACCGCATAGGTGCATGTTGGGTGTACACAAAGTTGGCTCTCACAAATTAGTCGGAGCCAGTTAGTGTAATCAGTACACAAACCGATGCGGTGTTGCACACAATTGCACCAACTCTACACAGGTGGCACACCGGTGCAGACCAGCCGAAATCGCTATAATATAAACATATATATATCGACAGTACATAAGTAACATTAATTAATCTCCTATCTGTCACATTTCCGATTGAATATAATTTATCTGATAGTACGTATTGTAGCAGAGAGAAGCCTTGAGAGCGGCCACGGCCATAAGAGTTTCTGTCATAGCTTTTCGTGGACATGGTTCTATTCCGTGCTAAGTTTGTGGACATGGTTCTATTCCGTGATATGAAAACACCGACGTGGTGGGGATACGCACACAAGCGAGACCGTTGTCCCCCGTGTGCGTTCGTGGAAGTGTGCAGACATATTATGTTGATGTATAACGACGGTTCTCGCTTGTGTGCGTATCCCCACCACGTCGGTGTTTTCATAGCACGGAATAGAACCACGTCCACGAAAAGCTATGACAGAAACTCTTATGGCCTATGGCCGCTCTCAGGCTTCTCTCTGATTGTAGTTAGACACTCGTTTGTTGCGAACGTCGCGAGAGAAACACATTTTTCATTTTTATAAATTAATTCAACGTTACATATTATAAATAAATATAACAATTTAACCCGTTAGTAATAATTTTTAATTTTGCGTCGTGTTTCGTCTTTATCTGTCGAGCAGGCTACGGTTGTGGTTTGGTGCGTATACATGGCTCAAGGAACCGGGTTTGAGCAAGCTGCGATTTCGCGAATCGTGAAAAAATTCTAGACATGATAGAAAACTGCCCTGAAAAAAAAATATCGGGTACGAGTAAACGCAACTTTGCAGGTGGATGTTGTGCGCGGGTGAACTAAGTTGTTTCTCGAGATAAAATAAGAAAATCGTCTGTTTGCGTTACTACTAGCCGGAAGTGGGATACGTGACGTCTAGTCGTGTATTATCTTCGGGTGTGTGTCGTAGAAGTTACCCCGCGCGCGTCAGCGCGCGGCTCGAAGTAAACAGTTCGCCGTGTGTCTCCGTACCCCGAGTCTGTCAAACACGTCGGGATCGGTGCGTCAAACGGTTGACGCGATCGATCGGCGCGAGAGTTCATGACGGATTTTACGAATAATCAAATTTACACTTTCGACGGATAAACGTCGACGAAGTGTCTGAGGATCGCGAATTCGTGCTTCTGTTGTTTGAGAGGGTAGGACGCCAGCCATATTGTTTAAATTACCTGAACGTCACACAATCCCGGCGTCGATGTTTGTCCCGAAAGGATGCAGTGATTGAACAAATATGCTCCTCGTTAAAAAGAGGTAAGTCCGCAAAGTACGTCTTTCTTTCTTCTTTCTCGCAGTCTCTCGAAGGAGATCGCGTCCTCCCGAGTTCACGGAAACTTCGCGCTCTCAGTCATCTTTTTTTTTATTTTTTCTTTCTTTTTTTTTTATTTTCAATACAGTTTTTGCGTTTGCGAAATGAGAATGTTCGGAGGAAATAATGGGGAGAATCGCGCAAAATCCAACTAGATCCACTGTTTTTTGACACAATGCGACAGGTATATGTACGCACACATTGGCGGGAAAAATGGCGCGGTAAATGTTCACCCGAGAATTCCGAAATCTCGTGAGAGACACGAAGGTTGTTGCGCTGTTGTTTCATTGGAACGCATAGTTTTTTTTTTTTTGCGCGCGCGCGCGAGCGATCAAAAAATGCATCTCGAAAATTGTATCGAAAAAATTTAATGATAAATAAATATTTTTTTACTTATATTTATAGTTAAGAAATACAATATACATATTGTATTAATATTAGTATCTTTCTCAAATTCATTATAATTTATAATATCATTTTTACACATCATACATGTATATAAAATAAATGTTTATAATACGAAAGAATGAAGATTGGCAATAACACTCAGATCTTGTTTTGAGGTAAATTCGGTATCGCTTGTCAATATGTCAGGTCTATTATTGATCGATTACCATTGTTATTGTTATGTAACATTTGTTTTCTAGTTTCCTTGAGTTTAATTTCTTCATTGTCCGAGCACGTGAATTCTTATCTTGACAGATGTACAATACACAATTTACACGTGGTATCAAGTGTCATTGGCTTTTTTTGTATGTAAATATTAATTTAGGAAAAAAAATTTCTTACAAAACAAAATAAAAAACTTATTCTATTATTGAAACATTTTGTGAATTTTTTTATTCAATTTGGTTTTTTTCTTAGAAATCCATAAATTTTTTAAAAACGCAAATATTTTAAAAACATTAACTTTCTTTAAATATCTATTTTTTAAATAAAATCTTTTATTTGTGATTTCTTATACATATAGATAAACATTATTAAATCAATTTTTTATATATTCTATATAAAAATTTGTAATATTCAATTTTTTTAATATTTGATATTTTTTATACTCTAAATAAGTGTTCTTTTAGTCAATTGTTTTGCATCTTTTGTAAAAGTGTACGGTAAAACATTTGATGCCATTTTGTTTTTGCGTTGACATCCAGATTTTTTTTTATACTCGTTAGTTATATTCGTTCTCATCGCTCTCATCTTTCTTATTCTTGTATCCGATAACCGGACAAAGTATAGAATAACCCGCAAGAGGCTTGACAAGAAAGGGGGTCAACTTTCTTCTTGATTAAAACAGGGGAAACATTTCTTATGTGATTTTATAGTTTTTCATATTTTTTTATATACAAAATATGTGAGAAAAATTATCAATTATTTCACACACAATAGAATATTTAAAATCTTATTAGAAAATAGTCTCGCTAATTTTAACACAATTGAAAATTAAAAAAAGAAAAATGTTAATTAGAATACTTTTACTCGTTTTTGTCAACAAGTCGATGTTACGTTATATATATAAACATTTTATGCGAGATAGCTGTCAGAGATTGTGACTTTTGTAAAGACTCAACTCCATCACAGCGATTGCATATCTCTTGGTGGCGCGCTTTTATTTCTATCGCGCGCATGTGTGTTCATTCACGGCGGGGTCAGCCGTCAACAAAGCCCGGTTCTTCTTCTTCTTCGTCCCGGGGAACCGCGCTGCACGCTTCCACTTTATCAATATTAAGTTGCCCGTTGAGAGATAGGGTGACGTCAACTCACCGGGTTTCCAGTGCTCCTATATAAGTACGGCAACTGCCAGATGAGAGACGTAGAACGCGAGTCTCTCCTCGTGGCCGCGAAAATATGTCGCGGGGGGAACACCACACCCCTGTGTGTGCGCAACTCTTTTGCCGCTCCGATATATCCCTCCTCTCGTGTGTATTCTTCCGTACATCTCCCACGTCCCTCATCTCACTCTATCTCTCTTTCGTCTATTCACGCATTTCGCACTCCGCAATTTACGCGGTATGAGATTCGGAGATCGTATCCTTTTTGAAACTTTGCGTTTCACTCACTGCTTCTTCGTATGCGCAACAGATCCAAGGGCACCCGTGTCGTAACGACAATTTTTAAATAGTTTTTTTGTGATGTAAACGGACAAAGAATTAAAACAATTGTGAAAAAAACGACGGATATATCGGAAACGATTTGGCTTTGGAATTTAAAAATAAACAAAATAATTCAATAATTGTCAACCAATTAATTTATAAAATTATTTGAGTCGTTAAAACGTAGAACTGCGCGTTTCTTGCGCGCATTATCTGCGCAATGTGGATGAACGATCAGCAGACTGACCTCGACGACGTCGGCGGTCATCTCGTGTGTGTGTGCGCGCGCGCGCGCGCGAGCGCGCGGAAACAAATAAGAGAGACAGCTGCCCCGTACGCAGGAACACAGGCGACGGCGACAAACTCTCCCTGGGTCGGCCCCATCTCTTTTACCCGTTGGTGGATACGTTGCTATTCACGGACAGCTCGAGAGCGTAGAGAGCAGGGAGATCGACACCCGGCGCGCGCGGACGCATGTGGCTCTTTAAGCTTGTACGCGGGTCCGATATACAACGAAGCGCATGAATAATGGTCTGCGTAAAGTTATCGTAAGGATATATCTTGCAACAAATCGATGATTATGCTATTTAGGATATTTACCATATATATATATATTTACTTGGCGAACAAATGTCGAAGAATATTTAAGTATACTTGATTATTTGAACACGACGGTGTGTTTTCCTATTTATGATTTTCAATGACATTTTGTTTGTCAGTTTGTCAATTTACATGTTTAGCTGCTGCTGAGAAATCGGACGTTTTCTTCTACTTTTACGTACACGGAAAAAAAAAAAAAATGATGTTGAATGAACAGTATCAGTTTAATAAATTCGGTCATGAGAGCCGTTCGCTAGGTGTTGTGCGGAAATTATACGTGTATATATATACACCGAAAAAATTGTATTCTTGTTTTGAGGATATCCCACTTACTTTAAGTATATTTTATACTAAAATAGGCGCCAAGAAGAGTTTCTTATTTTAAGAGGAAAATCCTCTAAATATAGTAATATTGATAAGAATATATACTGATTAGAACATAAAAAGCTTCT